GTATATACTTTATTATTGCCAATTGCTTCCAGTGGAATCTCAATTTTAATTAGTTTGAAAACATAGGTATGATATTTTACAGAATTTAATTAAATGAACCCTATAAAAGTTGGCTTTTATCCAGGGCCACAATTTATAGCAGGCTGAGTTTTAAATTGCATTAGCTTTTTATACTGGGTCATTTGCACGTGTAATAGAAATAGAGGTGACGTGAGACACAGATCCTCAGAAACCAAATGTCTTCCCATAAAGGACACTTATTTTCTAATTTGGAGAGTGTATGGCCTGTCTTTTTGAAATATTGTATTAAAACATACCCAGAACTGCTTGCAGTTAAGTTGTAGAGAACTTTGCAGGTTTCTGGGCTCCTGGTTTGAGAGGTGACGCAGCGTGTACATCATTTCAGCCTTGCTGTTTCCAGGTAGACGGTGCACAGCAGGCCTCTCTGGGTGACGGGCTCGGTGAGTCCTGCAGCGGAGCCCCTGGGAGCAGTCTGGCCACCCCGCCAGCTCAGGTCCTTCCCTCGCGGTTTTGGTAAAAAAACGCTGCCCACAGTGCCTTCTATCTGACCAAACTGTAAGCGGTCCACACGTGCTGTGGCCTTGATTTTCCTTAAGAAATTCTCCCAAGTGGCATTCCATCAGCCAGGGAGGGAACAAGTCTCCTAAGTAACCACAGGAAGTCCTGGCTGGAGGACTGAGACGGATGTGTGGGGTGTCTGTCACCCCCAATGGACAGCCCCCCCCCCACCTCCCGCATTAGTCTCGGGATGTGGGAAGACGTCGCGGGCGCCTCACACAGGAGCAGCACGCCCTGGTACCCAGGAAGGAGCCTTGCTCCCTCACCCTCAGCGTGACTGCCTCGTCTCAGGAGACCTCACGGCACAGGACCCCCCAAGGCCCCTTAGCGTCACGTCGTATTTGTGGCTGTGATGTTTGCCTCGAGACAGACTGATTGGATTTTTACCATAATTGCACCTCAGTCACGGGGGACCAGCCAGCCTTAGGTGAATAACTTAAGCATCTCATTTATAATAAAGATAAAGTTTGCAATCAGCATTTCTTCTTCCAAAACATTCCATTTACTTGGTTTTAGAGCTGCATAAACTGTTTTCAAAGCAATCTGCTCAATTGGGCGAGTTAATGATATTGAATTTGACCGGGCCAGACGTCACCGGATGAGCACTCAGTCTGTAATTGCAGCCATCACCACTGCATCTTGTGTAATGTAGATGCCATGCTAATCCCACAATACAGGTTGTCACTCTCGGGTGGCTGGCAGCACGCGCGGGAGTCATCACCCTGCCAAGTCTCAGCGATGTGACTCCTAGATGACAGTGTCATAAGTGTTATGTGCACAAGGTAATTCCAAACACATTCGGCTGCAACAGTGGATCGTCTAGGCTGGTAAACTGCCTGCCTCGCCGTCTGCTAAGAGAGTGTAACGACCCCTAAAGTGCCTTGTCAAGGAGCTGTGAGGCAGGTCAAGTCCGACACAATTTATCTGTTGCGCCTCCGGATAATGTATAGAAACCTGGGGCTGAGAATAGTAACATGGACGCGGTGGCCTGGAGCATATGGGCAGGGGGCCATTCAGTGGCCAGATGTCCCCTGGGGCCACTAACTGGGCTGTTTTGCTTCTTTGATTTATAGATTATTTTCTCCAGGGAAAATGTGACCATCCTGGTGTAGACTCCCCATTAGCAGTGGTTTCTTAGGAAATGCTTAGGATTTGCACGTTAGACGCTAGGCGTAGGTTATCTCACTAAACTTTGTAAAACCCCAACACTGTAATCACCTTCATTTTCCGGGTCAGGAAGCTGAGACTCAGAATAGTTACACTGTCCAAAGCCCACCGTCGGGGTTCCATCACGGCCTGAGCCCAGAGTTGGGGTTCCTGCACCCCCATCCCTGAGCTGTGAGAAAGAGGGCTTGCCCAAACTGTGTCTGAATAAAATAGATGCGGCTTTGATCTTCTGGAACTGCTCCGTCGGGCACAGCTGTGACAGGACCTTTCTGTGCATCCAGCGAGAAGCGAAGGGGGACAACAGGGCAGTACCCAGCCACCCCAGGGTCCCCGGCCCCCCATGGTCTCACCACCTCTCTGCACAGCTCCGGGGAGTGGGTGCTCTGGGGGTCGCTGAGTCAGCGCCTTTTAATCACCCACTTCGGGGCACTCACGAGCCCTGAGACGCGGGACCTGCTTGCCCAGGGACCCTCCTACCCTGACTGGGCCGGGGGTCCCTCCGGTTTTGTTTAGGCACCGTTGAAATACCCGCTCAGCAGCTGTGGCATCGGGTTACGAAATGTACTCAGGGAAAGCAGTGATTACCATCACTTTTCTATGACATGAGCCAGTGAAGATGCTCCCAGTCAGGACAGCACTTCCATTGTCAGGCAGGTGGAAGGAGATCTGTAGGAACAGGTAGGAATGCTCTGCGGCCTGAGGTCACAGGACTTCCGTGTGATGTCACAGCTCTGGGAATGTTTGGGGAGTTCAGGTCTAAGTCAGAATGGCCTGGAGCACACGGAACGTCGTGCTGAGTATGACAGGAAGTTTGGGGTTAAGAGGTCCTAAGATGAGGTAGTTCGTTTGCTCAGTGACATCATCAGAGACCCCAGTTCTCCCACGTTTGTGCTCTGCGTCCCTCGGGATGTTCCGTGAGCCTCGGTGGCACCCAGTGTGGCCCTGCTGTGCCCCAGGTGCCAGGCCACACGTGCAGGCACCTACAGTCCCCGCCTGGGGCCCTATTCCCAGAAGGAACAAGACCTCAGACCCCTGGCACATGCCCTCCATCCCGTCAGCCTGAAGTCCCTGGCATGACGGCTGGAGCCACTCAGATGCAAACCGCAGCCCCCGGGGTGAAGTCCGAGCTCTCCCAGCGCAGGGCAGGCGGGAGCGAGAGGCGAGAGGACGCTTGTTGTCCAGGCAGCTGATGTGCCCGCCGTGCTGCTCTCAAGATGCCCTTGTGTGTTGTGTGTACAAACTGGAGGCTTCCAGGATGGCTTCCTGGAAGAGAGCCCCGTTCACCTCCTTTGCAGATGGGGTGTATTTACACAGAGAGAGAGCACGGCCGGCACGTCTTGCAGGAGCCACGCCAAAGCCCCAGTGCCTGACTCCAGCGCGTGAACCTTCCCGCGGCTCGTGGAAGGCCAGCCTGGCCGGCGGTCGGCGGCCAGCCTGGCCGGCGGTCGGCGGCCACCCCGCACCTCCCAAGGTGCCGTCTGGGGCATCCGTTTAACCCGGGGACACGTTTACTATCACATGTTCAATTCCTGTATCGCGTGGCCCCTGCTGTCGCCCATGGATGATTCTGGCTCCAGCAGTTGTGCCCCGGCAGGAAGTCTGGGCGCTCCAAGCTGCCACCCTGTCCCATCGCCGCCCGGCCACGCCCAGCACTCTGGGCTCTGAGCAGGGAAGGGGTTGAGATGGTCGACTGGTTTGGAAAGCTAGAGTGCCCGTGTGTCTCTTATTCTTTTCTCAAAGGAGGAAGAGTGGAGACAGCCGTGTGCCCAGCCCTGGTGGTCCCAGCTCCGCAGGGTGCAGGGTGCAGGGTTGGTGGCCCAGCCACTCTCACTGGTGCACCTGAGTCATTCTGTAGCCCAGGGCCCTTGTCCTAACTCCCTGCGATGGAAGTAAATTACTTAAGTGCACTGAATGCAAGTCATTAGTTGTCCCCATGGGCCTCAACACAAGGGGAGAATCCGACGACGTTTCTGAGCCCGGCCGCTGTTGGCCAGGCATCCGCCTGACTTCTTGTCCCCATGGGACGGAGCGCAGGGCTCAGGAGATGGGACACCAGCTGCAGACTGTGCTCGTGCTTGGACTGGGAGAAGCCACCTGCCCTGTGCTCTCTGAAGCAGAGGACACGGGGGCGGCAGGAAAAGGGTCAGTGCTCGTTTTGACACCGAGAAACACCAAAAGCCGAGTGAACCACGGGCTGTGGATCTGAGGGACTCACATTCAGGACCCAGTTACTTTAAGGGACATGAATTTGTCCGCATTTCTCTCCAGAGAGAAGACCTGAGATGCTGAGGGCTGCAGACACTTGTTCTGCGGATGTGATGCCTATACCGTGTTTTGCTCGTGCTGTGCAGTCAGTAGAGATCAGCAAACTGTGGGGACAGAACCTCATGGTCCTTTGCTGTGGGGGTCAGGGGTGAGTTCCGTAGCTGGACCTCCAGGCTGCTGGGGATGACTCCACTTTCTAGAATTGGCGTTCTGCCTTCTGTTTCCTCGTGCACGTCGCTCTGAGGATGGCCGTGTTGAGTTAGTGGGTTTTGCCAATGGCGGGGGAGGACGGACGGCGGGGTTCCTGGACACGGCCCCCGAAGTTCTCACCCACACTCATTGCCAAGGGCACCTCATGCCTTTTAGTTGAAGCTGTTAGAGGAGAGGTGAACACCGTTTTGTGCTGCCAGCTGCCCGGGATGCTGAGAGCTGTGAGGAGGAGCAGTGGACAGTGTAGGCCACGGCTGTCGCGGGACCTAGGGACCATGCACGTGGAGACGGCACTGCCGTTAAGGCAGCCGCTGTGCCCCAGACGTCAGCCCTGTCCACCTGTGCCTGCATCATCATTTACTTAATATTTCCAATTGACTTTTTAAAGAAAAGCAAAAGAATTCATTTAAAAAGGGAACTCGATATTGCGTCCATAAAAGCAAAACTGACGTCCCCTGACACCAACTAGGAAAACACCCCCATTAACCATAACTGTAGCTAATTTCTGGTTAGCTGCCCGGACCAACCAAGGCCCAGAGCCTCGGGCTGCCCTTCACCCTCACCAGCAAGATGACGGAATTGTGGTGCAGACATTCCCACCGTGCGAGTACCATTTCCTGCCCAGTCTGCCAGCTGCAGACTCACCCGCCCGGCCGCGCTGCTGGGGAAGCACGTGCCCAGCCTGCGCGACTTGTCCCTCTTTCAGCAGCTGACACGCGAGAACCGCCGAGCCAGACTCTGCTTAACTGGACCGCCCCCCTCCCTGTGTGTCCCCACAGGTCAACGGCAAGGACCTGTCCCGGGCCACCCACGAGCAGGCTGTGGACGCCTTCAAGACAGCGCAGGAGCCCATCGTGGTGCAGGTGCTCAGGAGGACACCGCGGGCCCGGATGTGCACACCTGTCCCCGAGGCGCAGCTGGTGGACGTGGGGACCCAGACCGACATCACCTTCGAGCACATCATGGCCCTGGCCAAGGAGTCCCCCGCGGCCCCGCCTGTGCTGGAGCCCTACCTCCTGGCCGAGGGGTAAGTGACGTGGCGAGTGTGCCGGAGATGTGTGGGGACCGGGGCTTCCATCCACGTGCTGAGAAGAGTTCATGGCCTCATAGCGTTCCTCCAGGTTACCCGTTTTCAGCTTTATCATTTATAGAGGCAGTAAATTGAATCCTGCTCAAAACCAGTCCAACACATTAACTAGTCCATGATAACCCTGGAGCAGTTATTCAAATTATATTCTAAGAACAAAATTACTTCCTAATGTCATAAAATGTTTCAGAATAAAATTTCAACACCCACGTGGCCACGTGGAGCCTCTGAGGCGGTAAACATAGGCACTGCTGGTGATTCTTCCTAGAAACAAAGCAGGAGGTGAGGGGCCTGGCTTGTGGCCCCACTCTTCAGGGGCTCACGTCTGACCTGGACCCACCTGGGGGTCCGCACGCACCTGTGGAAGCCGCACCTTCCGTCAAACAGCCCCGCGTCCCTGCGCAGAGCCACTCAGAGCCCTCGAGTGCTGCCTCACCTGGGGCGATGTGCTTTATTTCCTCTGCGCTGCAGTTTCCCTTTGTTAAAACGGGGACAGCAGTGGTACCTGCCACATAGGATTGCTGGATCAAATGAAGTAAAGCATGGGACGCTCTCAGCACGGCACGTGGTACGAACCAGTGTCGTCAGTTTTGTGATTGATGTAAGATATTTAGGATAAAAAGAAGAGCAAGAAATTCTCTAAGGTCAGCACTGGGTTGAAGGATGTCCAGTCCAGTGTAGCCTTCCTTATGGGACTTTACACGTCTGGGGGCAAGATGTCCACTTGCGGCCTCGGCCTCGGGCTGATGTCACTCATGTCCCGGCTGGCTCCTGGTCCAGGTGACTCACTTGGCGCGTTATGTCAGGGGCATTTTCACCTCCTCGGGAGACGCTGACTGAAAGCTGTTAGCAGCTCAGTAGCTGCAGGGACCCGTGTCTCCATGACACAAAAGCTTGCCCTTCACCCCTGGTTTTCATGGTTAGCTGGCATCAGAACCCAGGGCCGATGCCCAGCTTTACAGAGTAAGTGTGGCTGCAGCCGCAGCATGTAAAGTGGAGGTGGGCGCCATCAGGCCTCCCCTCCGTGTGCACGGGCGGTTAGCTCAGGTCTATCACACGCCTCGGCGCAGTGACGGTGCAGATGCCGCTTGCACTCAGCGGACATCGGTGGCTAGATTGACGGCAGGTCTCACCGCAGAACCCAGATCACAGCCATGACGCTGTGTGTCATCCAGGATTCCAGGGGACTGGCCGAGGCGCCGAGCGTGACCATCCTGGCCGTTCCTGACATCACAGACCGAACCGCCTCTTGATAGTCATGAGGCCTCTCGGGAGACTCCTGACTCTCGGATGTTGAACTGTCACAGTGACGGGCCTTGTAGAAGCCAGACCCCTAATTTCCTCTCAAGTCTCTTGCATTTGACATGACTTACCCCAAGGGGCACTTAGGAAATGTCAGAAGAGTCAAGAGGTCAGGCCTGTCCGGTGCTGCCAGGTCAGAGGTCGGCAGCGGCATGTGTGGGGCTGGAGGGGGCGTGGCTGGTGCTTGGAGCCAGGCCTTCCAGCAGTGCCCTCAGCACTGAGGCCAGGACTGCCCCGGGCCCGGGGCATGGAAAGCCCACCGCGAGAGTGAGCACTCGTGTCCAGTCTGTCGTTTCAAAGCCAAGTGCGGGCGGGGACAGCAGAGCCCACCGATGGCTGCACCGACCTGGGGGAACAGGAAGGTCTGTGTCCCCAGCTAGGCGGCTGGGCTGGAGACCGGAAACAGCACAGCCGGTCCCATCTGACCCCTTCTTCCTGGGAGGTGACGTCAGCAGTGGTGGAAATGTGATGGCGGAGGTCCTGACCAGACGGCGTGAGCGGTGACAAAGCCGCCACCTGCTGCGGCGGGCCTTGCTGTCAGGGTGGTGAAATCGGGTGGCCCTTCACCGTCCTTGTCTCTTCGCAGGCATCCCTGTGCCCATGAGTACTATGACCCGAGTGACTACATCGGAGGCGCCCACCAGGACCTGGACAGGGAGGAGCTGGAGCTGGAGGTATGAGGCGTCCTTGTCTCGCTGTAGGGCCCGCAGTAAATGCTCAGTAAACGTGAACGAGTTGTGGATGCTCATGAAATACTACTTTTGGTGAATTTCTTTCAAAAGAACCACTTCTGGCTGTTTGAAAGGCATTTGAGCTTTTTATCCCTTCCATCACAGAGCTTGACGATCAGATCCGAAAGCAGAAATGTGGGCTTTTTATTTAAATTTCTGAGAAGACAGGGTCGGAAGTCCCGTTGGGCCTCTCAAGTCACACAGCCCCCCCCCCCATGCGCACATTCCTGTGATGGGTGTTAGCTCCTCCCCTTCTCCTTGTCATCACTTTTTGTGCAGATGCTCAAGAACAGATGACAAAGTGTTAAAGTGGACGCTGCCCACACCCAACAACAAAAGATTTCGCCCACTGGTTCCTCGTAAAGGTTTCCTGACACTGGTCTTGGAGGAATCAAGCCAATCATAACTCTCTGTGTTACTTGAGGCCGGAAGTGGCTCAGGATTACGGGTGCTGTGTGATGTCACACCCACCTCTGAGATGTGAAATGTTTACAGGACACCAGTTCACAGACTTCTACTCCTCATTTCCCTTTTAGTAAGAGCGATAGAAAACAGAAATAAGTTTTTAAGGTTATTTATACTGTGGGAAAACTGTTTCATATTTCAGTGTGTTTTCAAAAACATGAGCGCGTTTTCTGGAAACTGATTTTACAGAATAGGGTAATAGGGTGCCTTTCAAAAAGCTACCCGACACTGACAGGTAAGCGCTTTGGCACAATCAAAATCCAGTAACGTCTCATTCAATTTCATGGCCAGCCATTGTCTGATCGGGGCCGCCCCGCCATACTCCTGAGGCGGAAGAGCACGCCAGTGGCAGCAGGTTTTTTAGGCACAGAAAGAGCAGGATATATGAGACAGCTATGTTCCTCAAGCATTCCTTCAAAGCCACCAAGTTTTTGTTCCAAAACAGAAGACGACACAATAAAAACAAACGACCCTCCCATGTGCTGGGCACTAGAGGCATGACTGACCCAATGACAACATGTTTTTGAAAATGTAAATTTCTCCCTAATGCATATGGTCTAAACTGGAGCAAGTTAATCTAACGTACAGACTGCTGCTGGCTGCCTGTCAGCCACTTGCATTCCAACAACCACCCCAGAGTGTAGCCTTGTGTCTTTCAGAAAATTAAGGATTCTGCCCCTTATTTTCAATGCGCCATCTCCTCAACGCCAGGGCTAATTCATGAAGCAGGTGACTTTTTAGAGGCATCTCTGCATCACACGTAGCATCATGCATAGAGGCAGAAAGTGTTGAGACAATTTAAAGAAATGTATACAACAGCCCTGGACCAGTAAGGTACAGAGTTATGCTCCAGTGACCAGTCCTCCAAGAGGCAGATAAGCCATCGGATGCTCTTTGGGAAGCCTCTGATTAAAGTGGCTGCCGGTGAAACAGAAAGCTTGAATCGTCTAGGTGGAATGGCCCCTTAATTCTCTTAATTGCACTGTCGTTTCAGTTCCATCTGAAATGTCAGGCTTGGCTGTTCGTTTTTATCCGGCAGCCCATCTAGACAGTGAGCAACAGGACACCATGGCGGGAGCCGTAATCCAGAGAATGGTGGTGCATTATTTATGCCAGTTGGATTAATGGTCCTTGAAATCTTATCTCCATCATCACAGACACATATGCATTGACAACCGCTATGCTTTGTGATGTGTAGGGCTCTGCGTCCAGCTCAGAGTCAGGATGAGATGTTGAGAATTCACAAAACACCCACTAACTTTGAGGACCTGTCATTGCCACTGAGCTCTGGGTACCGTGCCTGGTTGTAAGACTGTAGAATAGCTGAGAAGCTTCAGAGAAGCGGCACCTGGCTCGTTCATGGCAGAGCCAAGCCCGCCTTCCAGTCGGGTCTCTTTTCCGCCTGGACGCGCAGGCTCATCTGGTCGGGTTGCTGTGCGCGTGCGTAAGGTGGACGCTGCACCCTTCACTGTTCAGCACCTGCTGCCTGTGAACTTGGCAGGAGCTCTGCAGGCCCCGACAGTAGCAGCTTGTACAGCTGGTTGTCAAGAGCTTCTGAAGACCTTCGATGGCTCCCCCTTTGCTTGACCATCCGCAGCCAGCCTCCGCTGTGTCTTTCTGACCCCCTCGGAAGCTGGGTGACCACCACTAAGTCATTCCGTGTGCCTTCTAAATGGGACCTTCCCAGCTTGGGTTTAGAGTTCCAAAGAAGATCCAGATAACGCAGGGAAACACTGGAACCCACACCGTCCCATCTGCCATCTATGTCACGTGGGCACCTGAACTCTAGGTATCCTTTGCCTCATGACTCGAAATGGGCTTTGCCCGAATCTGCTCACCCAGGACCACTCGTCGCTTTTAAAACCAGACCATTTCAAAGCTACAGCTGCTCCCAGAGGACTGCCCTGCGCTAGGCCCGCACTGCTGCTCATAAGTCTGCTCTGAAGATCGAGTCCTCAACGTGCCCCTCCCTGCCAGCGGGGACTGGAGTTCAGCTGGCCTGTGGGGCCCTACCTGGTCTCCTGGCCACACTCTGCCCTGCCTCTCTCGTCCTCCTGTCCTAGGACCTTTGTCCCTGCTGTTCCTCGGCCTACAAAGTGTCCGTGCTGTGGGCACCTGCCTCTCACGGGGAGCTGAAGCAAGGCTCTTCCACAGAGAACTGCCGCATGGAGTCCGCCAGACAGCTGCATCCTCACACCCTCCAAGAGGAGCTTGGAGAGAGGACTCGTCCCCAAAGACAGTAGCTAGGCGACCCCGTCTCAGAGCCCTCCCCACTCCTGGTTGTTGAGCAGATGACACTATCAAAACCAGACCAGGGGTCAGCCAGAGGGAGCGCACCCTGTCAGGGCCCTTCGAACGGGCCTCATTCTGCGGGATCTGGCCTGGGTGCGTGGCAGTGTGGGGAGAGGGCCACCTGTCCTGTTAACAGCTTCAGGGGCACCCCCCACACACACGCTCTGGAACTTCCTCCCAAGGCTCCAAAATTCCCCCGCTTCTGACTTCACTCTGTAGCACAGGCCAGTCAGCAGGCACAGTGGCGTCCCAGTGCTCCTCTCACGTTGGGCTCACTGTGCTTTCATCTTATTTAATTTGCAGTCATAGTGGCTGAAACTAATTTTTCCACTGTAAATATCGCAGCTATTGCGGGAAGCATTCATTGCACAGTCAGTCACGTTACCCTCCGTTCTTGGGTCACTGTGTGTGTGATCTGTTTGTGAATATTAAGGAACACAGCGTGAAGTAATCTTCACCACACTGGAAACGTGTAGTGAAACGGCTGGGTGGTTTGGTGTATGGCAATATTCTCAATTGTGACCGACATTGAAAGAACGCTTCTTAAAAGCCCCCTACCCCAGGAGTCTTGATGCTGAGTGAAATATGGGTCATTTTTCTTTTGGGGAAATCAATAAAATAACTGTTTTCAAAATGACTTTATATTGACTGAAAGGTCAGAAATACCCTGGGCATCGATCCCATGTCCATAATCACTTTTTGTTCAGTAAGTTAACCACTGTCGAGTTGATTGTAAAGAAATTCAGTTCATCATTTAAGCAAACTATGTTGAAAGCCTTTGTAGTGCCCCCTGCGGCCACCGCTACAGGACTCTTACTGGGGACGCCCTTTCTTTGTCAGGAGGTGGACCTCTACCGAATAAACAGCCAGGACAAGCTGGGCCTCACCGTGTGCTACCGGACGGACGACGAAGACGACTTAGGGATTTATATCAGTGAGGTATGAAGGCCCGTTGGTAGTCACTGTCATATCCAGACCGAAAGACGTGTTTTCTTTTACGTGCTGACCAACCTTAACCCTGGCTCTTTGAGAATTCTTTGGGAAGACACAGACAAATGTCTCTGTCCCCTTCATCACGCTCCATGGAGTTCCATCCTTAATGGGGGGTAAGTTCTAATGTCAGCACAGACAGCAAAATTGCCCTTCAGAGGCCAAGAAATCGGCCAGAAAATGGAGCCGTTTGCATGATTTGTGTGTTCCAACCCGAGGGAACAGTACACAATTTCCCATTCAGGTCCATTGACGGGTGGTGAATGGAATCGTACTCTTTTCGTAGTATTTCTCTCTCCCTCTTCTTCTTGGTGGAGTGTATACAGTTGAATCCATATATGTGAAATGCAGCTTCAAAGTACACAGCTGGAAGCTGTTTTGATCTTCCTGCTGACTTCAGTGTGGACACTGCCAAAGACCCCATGTTCACAAGCACAGAACCCCAAGTTTGTCAGGAAGTAAACTGTCTCTGTGGGATGAGGCAAGGGCTGTGTCTCCTGGGCTTAGTAATTACCCTCTGGACAGACTTGGCCCACCAAGCTTCAGCTGGCCCGTCGTCGTTGCATTTGGGGTCGTCTTTCCCGTACTCCAGCCCAGTTGTCTCAGTTGCATTCCATTTTCTAAGTTGTTTTCCAACGTTTAATAGCATTTGGTAAAATGACTGCGGCATGGCTGCCAGCGTAATAAAGACTGCCCTGTACCATGTTTCCTCGTCGCACATGGAAGCTCGTCGCTGCCCCTCCGAGCCCGAGGTCCGCTGCCTGCCAGGGCTGTGGTCCGAGAGCACGGGAGCAGCCAGTCCATCCCTGTCTGTGTCTCCACGCATGGCACCAAGTCTCGTTTGTCTGTGCGGAACAAAACCACAGGGACAAGTGTGACGGTGTGAGGTGTGCCTCAGAGAGCGCTGTTACTGCCGTGCGTGTTGAGTTACCCACCTGGTGCTGACATGCTCACTGTGTATTTCAGATTGATCCTAACAGCATCGCGGCCAAGGATGGACGGATCCGAGAAGGAGATCGCATTATCCAGGTGGGTTGGCATCTGACCGGCGGCCTCGTCCCCTGCCCATCACTAAACACTCTGGTTCCAATAACAGCTCTTTGGATGAAGAGCAGGGACCACAAAGTCATATGTGTGGTGAGGCCCGACAAGTTAAATTAACGAGTGACGCACAACAGGGTGTGGTGGGGACTGAGGCAAAGTGGGGAGGCAGCCCTCGAGAGATCCGCTGCCCGGCACCCCGCAGTATGAGCCAGCTCACCTTGTTTTCTTCAGTTCTCTTTGGGCCAAAGACAACACACGCGTGGGTCTAAGCCTGCCAATGGTGTAATTTGTGGGCCAAACTCATTTAGAGTGCTCTGAAGGATTAATTTTGGATGAAGTGTTTCAAGTTTCATCTTGTCTTTAAAATGGGAACATCTTTGGCAAATTTAGCAAAACCGATGAGAAGTCTTTCAGACTCTGTGACTCGGCATTTAAGCATCATATGGAATGGCTTCTCAGGGTACTCGCTTTCCCTCCAGCCCTCTTGCTGTTTCGCATCAAAGTGAGACCGTTTCTCTCTCGGCTTGTCTTTTTCAACTCACAGAAATCGAGGTTTCTGTAAGCTTGTGCCCCACAGCTTAGCTCTGCTGCTTCTCCTTTTCAACACGCTTCATTTATAGCTATCATTCCAGTCCTCACCGTGAGTGTTTTGATTTTCTTTTTCCACTGCTTATTCTAATTTCCTCAGCTGCCCAGGGGCTCTTACCTGGCGGAGTGACCAAACCTTCATTCCCAAAGGTTATGAACCTGAAGCCGTGCTGCCTTTTTTGTTTGCAGTAGTTTTCCATTCACACTTACTATACGGCAGGGAGGTGCTGGGTCCGCTGTGCCTCTGTGACCCCATTTCTCCTTGGTCACCAAGATCCAGCACCCAAGTGGTAGAGTCACCACTTTGCTGCCTGCTGGTTCGCTGGCTTAAGGAGTTGATGGAAGGCTCACCTCCCAGCGCAGTGGGACCATCCCTATGGCCCCTGGAGGAATGGCCCACCCTGGGGCTGAAACCTCCAGACCAGCAGAGCTCAAAGCTTCTAGGACAGGGAGCAAAAATCCTGCGAGAGGGTTATCCGGTGTGATGGCGGGTCCCTCCCCCTGGCCTCTGTCCCACCTAAAGAAGTTACGGTGCCCAACTGGGGACACAAACCACCTTGCATTCTTCCACTTCCTTCTCTCCCCTCAACTTCCACAACGTTCCCGTCGGACCTGTAGCTTCTTCGCCCATCGTATCTGAAAATGTCTGTAATGTACACTCCGTTTGTACTCCTGCCTGATGAAATCGCGTAGAGGTCCCGTCTTCCGACACTGATTTTGCCCAGTGCTGCCTCCTGGAGTCCCAGCCACTCCTGTTGTCATGGCTTGTACTTGACACTCGCCATGGACACCCATGAGGCCCCCTCCCAGGCGAGAGACACTGCAGCAGTCGGAGCAGGCCTTTCCTTCTCTACATCATCCTTTCCACACTGCGTGGACGTGGGAGCTGTGTTCTGGCCGCGAGTGGGTGGCGGCTGCAGGCCTGCAGCAGGACAGACCTGTCCTGCCTGAGCTGACGCCGCACTCGGCCCCTCCACCCCCTCCTGTCTTGCAGATTAACGGGCTGGAGGTCCAGGACCGAGAAGAGGCCGTGGCTCTCCTGACCAGTGACGAGCACAAGAACGTGTCCCTGCTGATTGCGCGGCCGGAACTCCAGGTGAGTCAGCTTCTTGCCCGTGAGGCTGAGGCTGCATTTCTGGACCAAACCCCGAGCTCCCATGGGACACTGCCCGGTGTCGTCTGACCGTGAAGGCGTCGTGTGCCACATCTGGTGGCACCTCTGGTGCGTGTAGCTCAGGGAGCCCCGAACGGCGCTCTGGTGTAGGGGGGGCCCGCTCAGCCCCGTGCCCGCCCCGACGCAGGCAGAGCGCCTCCCGCGGGAAAGCAGCGGGCAGAGCCCGGCGTGGGGCGGGCTGCGCCTCTGGAATCCGCGAGCCGGTCCGACCGCCCCAGGAGTGATTTCCCCGAGGAAACGTCTTTTCTGAAACACAAATGAGCGCCAGCACAGGCCTGCCTGAGGCATGTGGCCGCCGCTTCTCCGCAGCTGGACGAGGGCTGGCTGGACGACGACCGGCTAGACGACGACCGGAACGACCTGCTGGACGAGCTGCAGCTGGACATGCTGGAGGAGCAGCACCACCGCGCCATGCGGTTCACGGCCGGCTCGCCGCCGCAGGTGAGGCCGCCCTGGGCCGGGAGGGGGGCGGCGGGCCGAGGTCGGAGCCCTGGGCCTGGAGTGGGGGGGTCGGGGGCCCGAGGTCGGGGCCCTGG